GTGGCAGTACTAAGCCAACGTGGGGTTTGCTTTCCAAGCCTCACGCTGCCCTCATGGAAGACCTAAATAACTGGGTTTAAGGAAGATAAATTTGCAGAAACCAAAGAAGCGGTGGCTCTGGAAGTTTCTTGGCACCCAAGAGAACTAACCACGATTGATGATGTGTGTACAGGCCAGGCCTCCCCAAATTCTTCCAACCTCACTGTTCCTGGGGATCCTTAGTTCTCAGACGGGAAGCTGAGGGAAGGGACCTCAAGGATCTCCAGCACGGTCTTCAGCAACCTTCACTTCGCTCCAGTTGTACAAGAGGCCACTCCACAGGCCCCAGGATCTACTTATCCAAAATAGGCTAAGTCATTTCCAAAGTGACTCACCTCAGGAGGATAAGGGGACTGATTTCAGCAGGATTCCTCTGGACAGAAGGAGACAAGGGAGTGTCTCCAGAGGGTTTTCTCTCCATCCTTGTACTGTGTGTTTTTGAGGTAAGGGTTTTCCTGCATGGAGTTCTGGCAAACAGCTGGCTCTGTCACTTGGTGGATTCTTGTGACACAGTAGCTGTGTCAGAACTGTGTGTGACCTTGTATGTTCTTCCCACTCACACTCCTTTTAATGCTCTAGCTTTTTGTGCTGACATGGCCCAGTAGCACAGGGACACTAGAGCCCGCCCAGCATTGTGCTTGGTGTGCGTGTGTCGTGTCTGCCATAGGTTCCGGTGTAGGAATACTTGGACCACAGCTGGTAGTACTGTTCTGAGAGATTGTCCATGCTTCAGGAGGTGAGGTCTGGCAGCTGGAGGTGGGTCACTGGGGCCGGGCTTTTGACGGGTATAGCTTGGCCCTGCTTCAGATCCCGCTATTTGCTCTCTGCCAGCTTCAGTGCGACCACCTACTTCGTGTTCCCTTGTACGCAGATGGCTTATTGCCCGTATGATCCCTACCTTCTTTCTTTCCTTTCTTCCTATTTTTCTCTCTCCCTTCTTTTGTATGTCTGTATGTAAATCCTTGCTATGACATAACCAAAATTTTCTCCTCTGTTTTGGCTTATGCATGTTTGTGTTGTGTGTAGGAATTCACATGTGTGTGGGGTGCATGTGTGCAGGCGCCTGTTTGAGAACATGTGTGCATGTGTTTGTGGAGACCTGGAGCTGATGTTGGGTGTCTTCCCCTATTATTCTCCACTTTATTTACTGAGCCAAGGTTTCTTGCTGGAGCTCACTGATTCTCGATAGTCTAGCCATCCAGCTTGCCCTGGGTAGCCCCCTATTTCTGCCTCCCAAATACTGGGGATGCAAGTGGATGCCACATTTGCCTGGCTGTTTACATGGATGCTGGAGTTTGCCATTCACTGTCTCCCCGATCCCTGATGTTTTCTTTAACAATTCGAAGGGTTTTTTTGTTGTTGTTTTTATTTTTGTTTTTTTGTTGTAAGTCTCTATAAACGTTTTTGTGTTTGTCAAGGTATACAGTCCTCTCCTTTTTTGCTTTTCCCTTTGGGGGCAGCCATAGACAGGTTGGCTAAGATTAAAGTACATACTGATAGCTCTTCTGGTGGTTTTGTAAATTTCCATCTTTAATTTGCCAACCTAAGTTTTCAATTAGTTTTGACCCTCCACTTCTGTGTTTTCTTTTCTCTCTACTTGGTGAAACTTGACTCGTCCTTCAAAGCCCAGCCAAAAGTGATCTGGGGGATGTTTTTCTTATCACTTCTGCCCACGTGTGCCATGCCTATCTTTGTTGTCTCATGCTGTTCGGCATCGTATCCTTGCCCCTAGACGTCAAATGCCTACAGTGAGGGCACACAGCACTGACACACAGGCACGGCTTTTCGAAAACATCTGGTAATTAGCCAGGCGGTGGTGGTGCAAGCCTTTAATCCCAGTACTGGGGAGGCAGAGGCAGGTGGGTCTCTGTGAGTTCGAGGCCAGCCTGGTCTACAGAGCAAGTTCCAGGCCTGGCTCCAAATAGCTACAGAGAAACCCTCTCTCAAAAAATGAAACAAAACAAAACAAAACCAACAAACAAAAAAAGAAAACGTCTAGTAACTTCTCTTCCCGTGTGAATGTCTTTGGTTCAGAGGGTCTCTACAGCTTATTCCTGTTCCCCTTTGGCTCCTTTGAGCTCTCAATCAGTGTGGAATTTGGCCCCAGGATGCTCAGCTACCTTCTCTTGACTTACCTGAGTCTGCGCTAATCCTGTCTTCCAATCCCCTACATCAATGGACTTGGTGGAGTTGATGGAGCCAGGCACTGACTTACCTTTCAAAAGATCAGGACTTTGCCACCCATTTTCTTAGGCTTTCTCCCTCTGCACGTTTCTCTAGAGCAGGAACCGTACCTAAGATGGCTTCCCTCATCGTCCAGGCAAACAAGCAAAGCTTCAGCAAACAGAAGCTGACTGATTCATATCTTAGCAATTAGCCTGACCAGACCAGGGAAGAAAAGTCAACCATGAGCTACTGCCCATTATTTTGAAGTTATTGTTGGGTTTTTAAATTAAAAAAAAAAAAGAACTTTCTCTTGTTTTCACTTAAGTCAGCATCTACAGAGAAAAAAGTGAGCCCCCATTTTTCTCTATGTCTGGAAAGAGAAATACGACTGTGTTAAGAGAGTTCATTAAAGCTTTGCTCTGCTCCCTTTCCCAGCATATGCTACAAATCTTCGCTGCAGCCGGGTACGGTTTTTTCCAATTAATTTTTCTCTTTTGCTTTACTGGCAGTCAATTTTACTAATAGACATTTTTCTAAGTCAAATGCTTTAATTAAAATTGGAATGAAAAATCTGATTAAAATCTAAATTGGCTCTAGGAGCTGTGATCTTTTACTCTGCTCTTTGCAGTTACATGATTTATGTTCCAAATTGCGACATTAGGATTTTTCAGTCCATTTTCCTTACCTAAGGCATTTACAAAAACCTTGTGCCTTGAACCAAATAATCCTGATTTGAAAGCCATTACATACTCAATGTCAAGCATTTCAAGACCAGCAATAGGTTAGAATGTGAATTTCCAAAATGATTTAATTCTTGAGCAATTCCAAAAGGCAGACCTGTAAAGTCTCCCTAACAGTTTCCTTTCCCATCCTAAACTGATATTTAAATACAGTCAATGCTCTTGAAGCTCACTCCTGGAGATAGATGCTTGGACACGATCCAGAAGAAGTCAATTAATTTATTAATTTTGAATATATAAATATATATACTGAGTAATCAGTAGAGAAAAAAATGATCTGGCTTATCCAGGCTTCTGTCTTTCTGTTTTTCAAAAAGCCTTCTTATGACTACACTTTTAAAGCCAGGACCTGAAAATCCACAAAAAGCAACGTCGTATGCCCCAAACCGAACAAAACTCTAAACCTGAAGCCACAGAACAAATTTATGAATCCTATTCCAATTTAGTATCACGGGTGGATAGATTAATAATTTCATAAAAAATGTATGAGTCCACCGGGGGCATCTAAATTCAAACAAAGGCTGAAAGAACAAAGGTGACAAAAATGGGGAACACTTAAAGAGACAGACATAGAAATGACCCGGGCATGTTATTCTCCAGCCTTAGCTTGTGGGGGTGGCCAGGGGAGAGCTGGCCCCATGGCTGCGCACCACAGATTGAAATGGACTGTTGCAGGCAGAGGTCACCCCACGGTATCAATTACTTGCTGCTACCTGGAAAATTTGATTTCATGCCCCTCAGTAGAGCCGCTTTCTTCTCTAGCACGAATGGCAACCGGCTCCAGTTGGTAACAAGAATAATGCGTTTCCTCGGAGGCATTAGGCTGCGGGAGCTTCTCCATTGAGAAAGTCCTGCAGATTGCCAGCCAAGCTAAAAGATCTGGGGCACGAATGTGCTGAGCGAATGGGATGGGAATGCCGAGTCTGCCCTCTTCCTAACCCTGCATTGAAGAGTTTGTTTGGTTTCTGACCAGCAGTTGGTGGATCCATAGCTACAGAGGCTAAACTCCTACCTACAGCCTGTATTTAGGCCAACATCCCTCTCTCCCTGGAGTTTCTCCGAGAAGAGACTAGCTCGAGATGTGAGCAAATATAAAGCATTGGGGATCTGAAGACAGGAAAGTTTGTACTGATTTGATTTTTGTCTAGAACTATCTTTAATGTTCTGTAAATAATCTCCTGCCCGAGGCCCCTAGTCCAAATCAACAGTCTTTGGAAAGATAGGCTGTTTTGGTAGTGAGGGTACTATAACACCAGGAGGCTGACGGGAATATTTAAAATATACAACAGCAAATGCTTTCCATGCATGGTACCTGTTCCGTTGTCGAGCTGCGGTAGAAGGATGAAAACACAAACCCGCCAGACCCTTGCTGGTCTCTGATCTAAGTGACCGTCTCTAAGCAGATCACATCCTTGCTCCTTGTTTTGATTTTAACCTTATTTCTTTATTCTTAATCCTAATTCAGAAAGACTTGTGATGTTTTCATCAGCAATGGAAAGAAAGACTAAAATTACAAATCAGTGAAATACCAATCTATGTTTCAGACTAACTAAAACGATGTTTTTTTAAAAAAAGGAAATTAAAAATTGGAGTTAGCAGATGATCTTTTTTACTTTTTAAGAGATGTAGGGGGATGGGATCTTTCTAAGCACACACAGCACACAGTGACCACACAGTCAGACCTGCCAGTAAAGAGTCAGTGCAAAATACAACGCGAGAAACACATACACACAGCAACCTCTTCTAATCACCTTGGCGGTTCTCATTAAAAAGATCAAATCCCAGGCCATGAAAGCATGTAAGGGAAAGGGAGACCCTTAGGGCTTTGAGTGTTGGGCATCTCTGGGTGGGGAAAATGGTGGGGGAGGTGAGGAAAGATGAGGAGGTGGGCGAGAATTGCTTTTTCTCTCGACATCAGTTCCAAGAACACACGTCCATCTGAGGAGCGCTGCCATTGTTAGAGGAAGCGGCGAATCTGCCCCGCTGAGGGTCAGGGGATTCCAAATTATTTCAAGCCCTTTGATACAAAAGGCCAGACTCCCTCCTTCTCCCTTTGTGAAGGAATAAATGGGCTACCTAGTCATGTGTTGCTTTAAACTGACCACTATGTATGCCTTAGTTAAATGGTTTTATAAATGCAAATAATCCTCTCAGAACAAAAATGGCAATTTTAGAAAGACTTTAGAAAAAGAAGAAAAGGAAAATTATGTATCTTGGGTTCCTCAGCTCAACACAGAGAAAAGGAAATGAAAGATCTTTCTATGTAACTCCTTTGTCACACGAAATGAGAAATTGTAATTCAAAAGAGCAAAGTGATTTGCCCTGGGTCATTTAGTTTCTCAGAGGCAGAAATACAAGTCTCTTAATCTGGGACAATTTGAGATTCAGGAGAAGTGACTGCAGCATATTTTATCCACTGACTAGAACAAAAATCCAGATATATATGTGTGCAAATAGGCGAGCAGGGGACGTCCTGTATAAAATGCTTCCTCTAGGTAGAGAAGAAAGAGTGGATTCGCACAACTACCGATAGTCGTTGGAGTGAGAGAAGGAAATGGTGTCTGCACACGGGAAGGTGGGAGCAAGACCCCCCACAACAATTGTGCCACCTCTCCACGGGCTCTGGACGACAGTGTAGCCCCAAGAGTGGTCCCATAGGCTGTCACAAAAGCCTGCGGCAAGTCCTTTGCTCTACGCTACTAACAGACCTCCCCAATTAACATGTCCTCTCACCTCTGAGAGATAGGGCCATCCCATGTCCTTTCCCATGGGTCTTAATCCCCGCCACATAAATGACAGGCGTCCTTTGTTTGACTTGTCAAACAAAAATAAAGAGACAAATCTTGGTGAGGAAACGTCTATTTGAGAAGAAGAATATGATTGCCATCTGGGACACACAGTGACAGGCCAAGCAGCCCTGGTATGTCTAGAGAAGAGACAAAAGGAAAAGCTGAGACATTTATTAAGACAGAGAAATCTGCATACGTTATGATGAACGCAAGCGCGCTGGTACTTCTGGTGCTCGAGGAGGTCGGCAGACGCTGACTGTGGGCAGCAGCTATGGTTCTGCACAGATCATTTGCAGGCTCGGAACTGTCAGGTTTCCTTCCAGTTGCTAACAAGAACAGAGTCTTAAAGATAAGGTGGCCTGTTTCTCTGGGATCCGCCTGGCCTTAGAGGTCCTGAAACAGTGGCGTACCATGTCACAGGTTTCCACCCCTAGTCTTTTTCACAGAAGAGTATGACCAGAAGGGTCTTGTTGGCATGTTCTGTTTTCACAGAATGGACCACACTTCTAGCTGCTCGGGGCCTCTGGCTCACGTTCTGCACCAGTGGAGACGGGTGGAAGGCAGGCGCAGAGCCAACATGAAAATGACCATGTGAACACCTACCCGTTCTACAAAGCTCTGGTTGTGGCCTGAAGCTTTCAAGAGAAGCAGCATCTGGAGGTGTGCTCTTTTTCCCAAGCACAAGTCTAAGATGACTTAAAGGTGGACTATTGATCTCCTTTTCCTATGTCCTCCAGTCAGGACTTGCATTTGTGGTCATTGTCTGTAAAACCCAGAAAGAACTTTTGTGAGCATTGCTGGGAGCCAGCATTCATGTTCTACCTGATGAATGACACAGTGTCATGAACAAAGAGCTAAATGGTATTAACCCAAGAGAGGCGAAAACAAGCAGAGTAGATTGTTTATATATACATATATATGTAAACACACACTATGTGCATGTGCATTCACACATGCGTGCATGCGTACACACACACACACACACACACACGCATGAACACAGGGCTGAAGAACCAGGCTTTGCCAGTGAGAATAGCATCACTGACTGTCCCTTGTAGTGGCAGATAAGAAATGAATTTTACAGTAAGAATGAAGACATACCGGCTACACACTAAGAAAGTGTCTAAGGGAGTCCTTTATCCCAGATATTCCACACCTCACTAATAAATCATGGTACCCCCTTGAATCTATCTCTTAAATGTATTTTAAATGTATTTTAAAGTCAAATCTTTTCTGTAATTGAAGACCTATACATTGTAGTGGGGAAGAGGGATTTGCCTGTGGGGGTACCTTAGTCTGATGAGAATATCTTAGGAAAGGATATGAAGGGAATTTTCTAGAATCTATGGTGATGTTTTTCCTCATATAACTGACGTGATATATATTCAACAAGAATAATTCATGGTTTGGCATGAAAATCAGTGATAGAATGTTTACCCATCATGTGAGAGACCCTTAATACCACACACAAAAATTAATAGGGTTTTGCGAGGAGTGAGTGTACCTCGGTGTAAATGAGTGTTCGTGACTTAAACGTGACTATGTCAAGGACCCCAGTGCCTCAGACCCAGGGGAATGTCAAGACTTTCCCCTAATTTGAGTATCTGTTGACAGAGTATACAGGAGCTTCCTCCTCCCAAATGACTGCCATAGAGGACAGCTCCCCTGCGGAGACACTGCTCCCCCGCCCGGAGATTAACTGGCCCACCTCTTCAGTCAGAAGTCTATAATAAACGAGCTGAGCTTCTGAACTGTTGGTGCATTTCCATCCGAGTACACAGCCCACCTGATCCTAACTTTTCTGGCCCAATGTCCATCATTTTTTTCATTCTCCATTGCCCCATCAGGTCAGTCTTAAAGCCATGCACGTCTTCGCAGAGATTTACTGTTTGACACTGAGAAAGAAATATTATTGTCAGATCCAAATAAGTATACAGATTGTCTTACCAAAGAGCTCTCTCCTTGTGGACAAAACCTGGGGAAGCAAAGCTAAGGGACAGAAGCTGGGGAGTTTATTCTACAAATGAAATGCTTAACGTGGCCATCTGGAATCAGCCAGTTTGGGGCAGACACATTGGGAAGTGGTTTTGATCTAAAGTAGCAGAACTCATGACTGATCAGTGGAGCCATTCTTACCTTTGGTGCCGAGTCTCTCAATCTAAGGCCCCGAGTGTGGCTCACCTTCCTGGTCTAAGGGTACCTACCTTTATCCGTGTTAACTATTTGCAGTTAACATTTTGCCCTCCAAGGGAGCTAGAGAAATATGGATACTTACTATTTCTTTCCATTTTTTTTAACCTCTGGATTTTAACTCCCTGAGGGCAAGGTTTTCCAAGTTCTCCATATCTGCATTCTCCAGGGGCAGTTCATATCTCTCTTATTAATTGAGGGCTCGACTCTTCTCCCAAGGACACTGGCCTGGTAAGGAGTGCCGCCTTAGGACTCATTGTGTGCATCTGTCAGAGGATGTTTGACCTTTGAAGATTAAATTTCCTCCCAGAAGCACCTTCCCCTGATTCACTGAGGAGTCACCGGGACTTTCATCCCTCTCAGCTGGGCAGCCTAAGATGCTCCTGCCGACCACCCTGCCCCCATCCCCATCATCTGCAATCCTCATAGCACCTACCTTTAGGATAGTATTTGTATCGTTGTTCTTACCTTATCTTTCTGCCTCATCTAATGAAATGTGAGTTCATGGAGCTGTCTTATCTGGGAGTTCTTTTTTTTCAATATTTATTTATTTATTTATTATGTATACAATATTCTGTCTGTGTGTATGTCTGCAGGCCAGAAGAGGGCACCAGACCTCATTACAGATGGTTGTGAGCCACCATGTGGTTGCCGGGAATTGAACTCAGGACCTTTGGAAGAGCAGGCAATGCTCTTAACCACTGAGCCATCTCTCCAGCCCCCCTTACCTGGGATTTCATAAACACACGATAGTGTGCTGCAGTCCAGATGTTGTCTAATTGGGACATTTGCTCCAGCACATCTTCCAATTGCCCCCAGCCTCCACTTTTCTCACCTACAACATGGGAATGTCACTAGTAACTTCCCCATTCAGCAGCTGGAAAGAGAGCAGGATAACGTTGTGAGGTGCTCATTGTAGCAGCTGTCACTTAAGTGACACTCCCTGTCGGTCTTTAGTTAGGAAACCAGGAGGATGTGTGGCGCACAGTCTCTAGAGGAAACGTCTAATGAGTTCACGAGTGAACAAGCAAAGGGCACAGACAACCATGCCGGTGAACTGAAATCCCAAATAGAGTTCCCAACCTGGCGCACTCAGCCTACTGATGCCCAAGACATTGGTTAAGACTTTGGTAGAAGGAATCTCAGTGGCTACTGCAGATGGATAGAAGGACTGGTGACCACCTGAGGTTTTGAGCTTGTTGTCTGTGCCCAAAGAAACTGTCTCCGGAAATCTGACAGCAGAGATCCAGTCCATTGGATCACATGTCTAATATGTAGGCATAGGACAGTAAGGTTCTGGGGTTGAAGTACTACATTCTTGCGTAGCTTTGTGCCCTCCCTGGGATGTCAGTGACAGGAGACAGAACCGGAGGCTCACAGCGACTTCATTTGAAGAGGAAAGGTTAAAGGCAAGGCTTTAAGGCCCTCTGGGGGGTAACGCCCTTAAAAGGGGCTGCCTCGGTGCAGACACACTGGTATATGTCACGGTGACAAGCAGACACATCTTAAAACAGACTTCACAAACACAACTGAAAACAAACCAGGTCTGTAAGAACTTGTTCCTTACGTTAGCTCATCAAGTTCATCCCCCTTGTCAAGAGGAATCGGCTCTCCAGGTAAAAAGGCAAAGCATTTTTTTTGATCCTTTCCAGAAGGCTAGGAGAATTTAACTTCTTTCCTTTCCGGAACCGATAAGATCTCAAATAACCACGTGGGTCTGGCTCGTGGGAGGGGCCGGACCTGGCTCTTCTGGAAGAGCTGGTAGTTGCTAAGAGGGAGCCTGCGACTGCAGAGAGGAGGGATTTTAAACCGCCCCATTTGAAATATTTGATTTTACATCAGGCTTTCTCGGTGGGTGCTTACCTCAGCAGCTTGTTATGCAGCCCCAAAACATGAGTGTAGCAGAGATTTCAAACAACTGTAAAGCTCTGTGTCTATGTGGCGTGCCTCCATCCCTCCGGACAAAGAACTGTCGGTTGAATTCATTTATGACCCGTGTATTTACGCGCTGTGTGTGTGTGTGTGTGTGTGTGTGTGTGTGTGTGTGTTTCTCATAAACAGTCGGCCTGAGTGACAGATTGATGGAGGAGAACCCAAAGGGGTCTAGACAGAGCTTCAGATGTAGGTTAGCAGCCAGCAGCCCAATGCGCCTTAGCCTTACCCTGATTGCACCACTGATATCTCCCACTTGGTCTTTTTCCACCTTTAGTGCCCCTGCAATATTTGGGTCAGTATTAGTAAGGGTTGCTATGGCTCTGCCCGCTCCCTCTGGGTCCCACCCACTTGCTGTGCCAGACTGCACGGTAGGTACCACTCACACTCAGCGGTTCCGTGTTTTATGATATTTTACATTCTATGTTACACTCAGTTCTCCTAGAAAGGCAGCTTGAACACCCATCCCTCTTTGAGTTTTAGAGGAAGACTTCTTATTTGTGCTCTCTGTTCACGCTGTTCTCCCACGTTGAGTCTGACACAGGGCTACCTCAGGAGACAAAGCAACGACAGGTTCGACACTGCGCATAGAAGTCCCTTCCTAAAATGATCAACAGCACAAACCCTCATAAACAGTCCTGCACATTGCTTAAGTCTAACCAGTTGCACCTTGATTCTTTCCTTTGAAGATTTGAGACTTTCCCTGGGAAAATAATTAGCACCCCCAAGTTTACATCACCTTTTTTTTTCCAGATATGCCCTCGAATTTTTGTTTCCCGTAGACAGCTGTCCTTCTCCCCATTCCCTGCAACATTTCATAAACAATTTTTTGTCAAGATTTATTTTTTAAAACTATGTATATATATATATATATATGTGTGTGTGTGTGTGTGTGAGAGAGGAGTTGTGTGCATGTGTGTGTCCAAGCCTGTGACATTCATATGAGAGCATCAGGTGCCCTGGAACTGGAGGTACAGATGATTGTGAACTGCCTGATGTGGCTGCTGGAAACCAAACTGGGGTCCCCTGGAAGAGGGGTATATGCTCTTAACAACTGAGTCACCTCTCTAGCCCCCACACTCACAGTTTAAAAACGTTTTATTTACAGCAGGGCAATGGTGGCACACGCCTTTAATCACAGCACTTGGGAGGCAGAGGCAGGTGGATCTCTGTGAGTTCGAGGCCAGCCTGCTCTACAAGAATTAGTTCCAGGACAGGCTCCAAAGCTACAGAGAAACCCTGTCTCTAAACAAACAAACAAAAAACCCAACTCTTTTGTTTACATGTATGTATGTGAACCTGCGCTAGGGTAGAGGAGGTCAGAGGGCACCTTGTAGGAGTTGGTTACCCCTTCTATTATGTGGATTCCAGGGATCAAGCTCAGGCTGAGCAGCAAGCACTTTGACTATCTGGGTCATCTCACCATACTATATACTTACCATTTTAAATACTCATTCGTCCCATAGATTTCTTTGAAGAATATTTGCTACACGAACTGTTTCTTGAGCTGTAAAATTAGATTGTGCTCCACCTCTAAGCAGCAATAAAAACATCCTGTAATGTAAAACCTGGCAGTCCTGCAAGAAATTAGGCTAGTGAAAAACCGAGTGACTTGGTGCTGCGATCATTTTATTACTGAAATTTAGTTGTAAGAGATAATTTAAAATCAAACACTGAAATCGATTTAAAGAGTTTTATTAAAAATATTTACTTTAAAATCTACCTTACTCAAACAGTATATGTATAACTTTACAGTTCAAAATCACAGAGCAAACAACTTTGTTTTGACTGTCTGTCTCTAGATCCGCTAGAACTGAATCCTGGAAAGAACTAGAAGTCTGTAGAAGCGGAAGCTGTAGTGATGGGAAGCAGCTGAGGTGGGGGAGAGGACTGAGCTGAACCCTCTTCTATCTTAATTTCTCCACCCCACCCCCCATTCCCCTACCTCTCCATCCCCACCCCCCACCCCCACTTCATCCCCTTACCCCTTTAAGATGGCCTTAACCTGACTCTGCAAAATAGCACCCCTAGGTACACAGCGGGAGGGATGGAGTGTTGGGAAATGGGACCAGATCAGGAGAGGGAAGAAGAGGACAGTCAAGACAAATTCTTTTGACTGTGAAAGCTTTTCACCTCCTCTTCTAGAACAGCACGTGGGAGGTGGTTCCTCCAGGAGCCGACTACAGGCTGAGATCAGAGCCTGTTGTCCTACATGGAAAATATGACGTGGGGCTGAGAGAGAAAGCCTGGGTGAGTGATGCCTTCTGCTCGCACCCGATTCTCCCTTCCACATTCTTGCCTCCTCTTCTCCACTCCAACATTTAGAAATTCATATCAACTCACCCTGCCACGGGCAGGTCATGACCTGTATTTTTCATTTTGTTTTGTTTCTGATTTGTTAATTCTACAGCTCCCCTTTCTGTTCTTTGATCACCTGCTAAGCTGGCAAAAGGAACTACAGGGAACAATTTATGATTTACTCATTTATTTTAAGACATTGAAAATGTTGGGTAAAGAACTGAATGAAAGGGATGAACAGACAGTCAGACTGTCTATGTACTCTCTAGGGAGGTCGGCCTTCAGGGATACCTACCAGGCTCAGAAATCTAGACGTTTATGCCCCCACAGTTCATGGATTTGTATAAAGGTTTCACCACCCAGGCATAATAAACTATCAAGTAGAACTCCCAGTCACCTCCCCTTTATGGAAGACAAGGGGCCAGGCCCCAGATTCCGATCAATGGCATGGTCTTTCTGGTGACCAACCCCAACTGGGAACTCAAGAGTAACCTCAGTAGAACAAGAGATGTTCCCATCACTCCGAAGTGCAGTCAGGAGCAGAAGCCAAAGGCTAGCTGTAAACAAAAGGTGTACCTAGCATTGCTGCTGCCCAGGGAATTATAAAAGCTTTAGAGACTCCATGACAGGAGACAGAAGCAGAGACCAAAGGCATATTCCTTATTCCGTCCAAATTTCACACAGTCCAGGGCAAATGCTAATCCACACCCTTGGCTTTCATTAGCATTAACTCTGTTTTGCATGCTTACTGGGTAGGAAGCTTTTGATTCCTCCATGGATTCATCAGCTGGGGGAAAAGACAAGTCCTGACAGCATTAGTGAGTCTCAGGTGAGTGGCAGTGGGACACTTGGCACAACAGACGTATTCCGAACAACTGAAGACAAATCTATGTGAACCATAGGAAACTCTGGGCCTCGAGTTACACCATTGCATTTCCCTGCATTTCCTTTTTATCTGCACTCTCGTTAGTAAGGCGACCAAACCTTTAAGCACCACACTTGCAATCTATACTTCTTTGATTCATTTTGAGACTGGAAGGGGTTTTCTTTCCTAATGTCCCCTAAATGAAAGGCCCAGAAAGGCCTGATGACTCGCTTTCCCAGGGCTGTGTCCTTCAGCAGTTTCTGGTCTCTGTATCTCAGGCCACCTCCTCCTTAGGACAGTGGGGGATGAAGAGGATTTGACAAACAGATGGGAGTTATTCCCTTCCAAAGCAGCGCAAGGATTGGTTCTGGGGAGTTGCCTCGGCTGACACAGCTTCAGCGTAAACACTGGATGAGTACAGAGGCCAAACAGACCCTGCCCTCGGCTGTATCATTAAATCTGTAGCCTCACCAGACAGGCCATGTCTGGAGAGGCGTTTTGGGAAATAAACACTTGTCTTTGATTTTTCTATTAGCATCCAGCCATTCCTTCATCTTGTACAGAGGAGACTGTAGTTTTATAGGTATGGGATGGTTGCAGCTCTTGCTCCCTTCTTTGGGTTGAAGAATGCTATTACAACAGGTCCTTGGCTACAGATATCACAAAGCCCTCCATGTGAACTTCCCCGGCTCAATCAACCTCCAAACCCTTTGGGTCAAGTCAGAAACAGAAACCTCCAGAAAATCTGAAGCGGTCATCAGGTCCATGGCGATACTACCAAGTCCCATTTTTATTCCTCTTTGGAAAGAGAGCTCTCGATGTTGGAGAAAGCCTTGATGTTGGGACTAGATGGCAATTTTGTCATCCTAACACCAGAATCCCCCAAGATATGTTGGTGGTAAAGTAGGTCAGAGTCCACTCTGTCACTTGTTTTGTGGTGTGAGACAGAAACATCCTGGATCTACATGGACGATGCAGGGGAATACAGAATACCTAAGGATTGAGAGTGGCCATGTTTGCAATGAGATCAGCTACTTAACGGGGGCTTTAGGGGAAGTCAAGCAAAATCCAAGTCTTTCTGTGGTGTGACCCTGGCTGCCGTCACAACACAACGTGACTCCCTTTCCATCTGTCCATTGTCCAAACCTTCTGCAGCTCTGCAAGCTGTCAGCCTCCCTCCAATGGAGTTGTTTTTCAGCTCAACTAAAATCCTTTCTGTTGCTTGCCATCCCTGATCCTAACTAGCCTTCCTTCTTGCGTTTTGTTCAATGGATGCGGGAGGATTTGAAAACTGAGCTATAGTCATGGGCATCTTACTGAAAGGGAGTGAGAACTGGAGAGTTTCCTAAACAGAGCTCAGAGGACTTTTACCTCTCTAGCTGTTGGCCCAGGAAAACAAGGGGTCATTCAGAGCTGGCAGGAGGTGGTGGCATATGTCAAATCACCCATGTGACTTTGCTATACCCTCTGCCTACACCCCCGGCTTAGAAGCAGGTACTGACAGGCATCCTGTGGATTTATTTTTCCATCTTTGCCCTCTCTCTCTTTCTACCTTTCATTTCTAGCCAAAAGT